TTGCTCCCCAGTTGGACTATTATTTCCATCAGTCAGTGGTCAGGAATTCTGGGACTTGTAGCCAGAACATCTGGAGGGCTCCAATTGGGGAAAACTGGCATCTGGAATTCACATCTTGTAACTATGAGGACAATATTTTCTGTGCTAATGTAATTCTGAACTTTTTCAACCATTTTCCATCATAAATATAATCTGTCCTTGAAATACCATTTGCTCCATTTTATCAAGCAATACAATTTGGCCTTTGCTCTCCCTAGGTTAAATCCTGCAACTGTCACAAGATTGTAAACTACCTGAAGAACAGGGGTGAGGATGAATATCTTGCAGAGGCATGTTAAGAAATGGTGAATGGATGGAGGTTGATGCTAGTTTTGGGATCAGAAAGAAGGAATGAATATTCTTGAAAACTTGGTGGTTCAATCATGGCTGAATAGTCTGATCCTATGTCAATGACATGATGCCAGCTGAATGAATGAATGAATGAATGAATGAATGAATGAATGCAAAGAGGAGACTCATGTAAATGGCAACGGAGCAATTTTACTGGGCAAGAATGTGACCAAGAAATGACTCAGAATGCCAAATTAGACCTTAAGAACATTATCAAAAAGTGTCCAGGGCTCTACAAGCTGAGTGGCAATGCAGATGCATCCAAGATTGCAAATTATCACTGCAGGAATTCATGTACATGGAGACACAAAATTCTGCCCTGGGCTGTGTAGCAAATGGTGAAGTATGAAGCACAGTCCTCCAGCAACATCTGGATGACCACAAAAGCACCATTCCTGGTCTACTGTGTCCATTTTAGAAGGACAGAACAAACTGCACATTGCTCCAAACCAAGGGCAGAATGTGAAACTAGATGGACTGGTGTCTCAACCATGTGTGACTCCAAGTAACTTGGAGCACTTCTTCGGATGCTCCAAAGGCTGACAAATTCCTAAGCTGCTGCATCTACCGTGACGGCTACGGATGGCTTGCTATACAGTCCCGCTGTGCAATCATCTTTCAAAGGAAGGTCTTCGCCAGCCCCAGATTTCAGTCATCCTAATGATGGAGCACCAAAAATTGCTGGTGCTCCATCTATAGGTTCATTCATTTTTCTTCTCATTCCCTCCACAAAGATGCACCCCCCAAACCACCCTCTGAGAAGGATGACAATGTGTGGATTTTCAATAAAGGCAAGGCAGTACAAGATAAAGAATGACCAGTTAGACCAGGGCTAATACCATTTGTTTGTTTGTTTAATGCACTTGGTGGGTCATGCATTTCTGGGTCAGGTTTCAACATGTTCAAAGGAGAAGACAAACCCTTTTTTAAACAAAATGTCAGCATTATTCTTTCTTATAATAGAAAGCAAATCTTATTGACTATAGGAGAATCTTAAGTACACATTCTATGTACCCAAGCTGCCGTTTTTCCACATTATATTCTTCACAGCCACCCGTCAGTGCCCAGATGCTTCCTAGCTTGGAACCGGATGAGATTTCAAGGACAGTCTGATTTATCCGAACTTCCAGCAGGGACAGAAATCCCTAGATTTACCCTGTCCTTTTTGGAAGCAACAATATAAACCAGCAAAGGAGACACTCCTGCTTTCTGTGCAAGCTATTCCATCGCTGATTTCCTTTTCCAGTTGGGAATGCTTTCTTGAATAACTTATGGAAAGGCCATCTTTAATCTTGAAATAATTCCTTCACTATATAACTAGTGTTTGTTGTATTTATGAGAGAGAAAAATGTATCTCCAATGGATGCTGTAGACTGTAAACATGGACCTTTTGTTTCCTTAGGAAACAACACTATGGGACTGATGCCCAAAGGACAGAAACTTCCGAGATTAGAAGCTTCTGTTCTTCCTGTGCCCTGTTGGACTCCTGCTGCCAGGCCAGGACTGAGTCCTTTCAGCTTCTTCATCCTCCTCAGTGGAAATTTATGCTGATAGGCCTGCAAGCAGACAGATGGTCCCCTCTCCCCTTTTTCACCCTCATGCTTCTGTCCCTCCCTCTTCTTCTTCTTCCTCAGGTTTGAACTGAGAATCATAGAATAGTAGAGTTGGAAGGGGCCAGAAGGCCATGGGGTCCAACCCGCTGCTATCGCAGGGCACTAAATTCCACCCCCATTTAGATGACTGTCCAAATGCTTTTTTAATGTCTGCAGTGAGGGAGAGCCCTCAACTTCTCCAGGTAATAGATTCCACTGTTGCATTGCACTGACAGTGAGGAAATTCTTCCTGGGGTCTAGCCTCAATCTGGATTTTTTTAACTTAAATTTATTATTGTGTGTCCTGCACTCTGGAATGAACCAGAAGAGATCTTGACCTTCCTCTTTGTGACAGCCTTTGAGATACTTGTAGAGTGCCCTCATATCTCCCCTCAGTCATCTATTCCTGAGGCTGAACATGCGCAGTTCTCTCCATCTTTCCTCATAGGGGTTTGCCTCCAGCCCCGGAATCATCCTTGTCGCTCTCCTCCATACCCTTTCCAGCTTGTCTGCATCTTTTTTAAATGTGGGGGCCCAGGCACAGTTCTCCAGGTGAGCTCTGACTATTGCTGAGTATAAGAGAACTAGTGCATGACATGTTTTGGACGTGATGCTTCTGTTAATGCAGCCCAAAATCACATTTGCCCTTTTTGCAGCCACATCACATAGTGGGCTCATATTTAGTTTGTGATCTGCAACAATCCCAAGATCCTTTTCATTTACAGAGCTTCAACCTTAGGAAAGGGAAAGTCTGTGGGGTGGGGATCCGCACTTGGATTTCCCCCTCCAAGGTCAAAGCTCCACTTCAGATGGTCCCTCTGATGCCATCCAGAGGTCACAGGATTGCACTCCGAGTCCTTCTTCTATGGTTTTTGTTATACTGTTTTTAATATGACTCCCCCAGGAAACCCACAGCATTCTGTGCAACAATTCCCCATGGCTTTATATAATAATATGGCTGTTTAATACTTTTTAAAACTAACATACAGTACTTCCGCTAGCCACAGTGGCTGAAGTCTTTACATCTCAGGTCCTGAAGTAGTGTCAGTGTTGTCAAAACTGAAAAGTTTCAGACTCAGCTCAAGCTGATATACCACAAGAGAAAATTAGAGGTATTAGAAGGCAGAGAGCAAACAAGAGGCTTAGTACAATAAGAAAGATCCACAGAACATGTGCAGAAAGTACAATAAAAACATTTGAACTTGAAGCAGATTTGGAAGCTGAAATAATAATCACAGATATGTTGATCCCATGCCAAGTCAGTAGAGAAGGCATCATAATAATTTCTGAAGAGCATAAAATCTTACTCCTGACCTTTCCACTAGGAACGTTGGACACCCTCTGCCTGCACTGGCCAACAATACTTGTTAGAGTGATGTCTCTAGACCCTGTCACTGTAAACCAGGCATCCAACAGCTCAGAAAGTGCTTTTCAGTGGCAAGAAATACTGCAACGAATCAAACTTACACTCTCTGGCTAAGTGGCTGCTAAAATGAGCTCCAAATTAATCACAGGGGTTTTATTTTATTTCCCTTGTAGATATTCTGGATGGAGCAACAAGACAGAATGGGACAAAAGCAGTGTGTGGGAGACATAATTCTCCATAATGCTCCACTTAAATGGCTGAGAGAGCCCTCTTAAGGGATTACCACTCTAGAGACAGAGGCTGTAAGATCAGAGCCCTGTATGCTAGGCCCTGCCAGGCAGCACAGGAGGAACAGACACCAAGATGCCTCCCACTTCTCATCTGCTGTTTTTAGCTGAGTGCACCAGATGGCTAGCGAGGAACTGGGAAGCTCCTGGATCTTGTGCACCTCTGTCCTCCCCACCCCCTCCTCTCCCCATCCACTGGCCTGCCACCTTCCTCCTCCCTGACCATCCAACTGATAGGTGAAGCTCCATAGCTTTGGCATTGCACCCATATATTCCTAAGAAAATAAATGGAAGAAGTTATGGTTTATCAAGGAGAGAAGTTGACAGTTCACCAGGCTGAAACCAAATCCCTCTATAGGTAATACTAAATGTGATTGCATTTAGCCCAACAAAGCACTAGCCATGAATGTTGGTTTGTTGTGATGTGGTCTATGAACTCGGCATTGTTTAAACCATGGGTTGCTGCAACATCTGAACACAGATTGCTTTGCCAAGCTCCAGAGACAATGAGCAAGAGTCCATAAATTCCTCAGCTGCTCTACATGCCAGTACAAAGGGACTGGGATATCAGGAAGGTGTGGGCAAAGGAGGAGGGAAACAGCAACTCAGGAATGGGGAAAGCAAAGCATGTTTTGTTCAGTTGTCTGCCAGACAAACCATGGGCTAAATAAATCTCTGGCTACTGTTATGTGCAAACCAGGCTGGTGACAGTTGTTTCTGGATATGCTTCCACACTTCCCACGGCCTCAGGGCAATACAGGAACAGCTGCGCACTGAAGATTCATCAGTGCTTTCGCTCTCTGCCACGTTTGTGTTATAGTAAAGCAAAGCACTTTCCCAGCCTGGGGGGGGGGGGCACTGTCTTATGGTTGGCACCAGGCCATTTTTCTTAAGGGAAAATTTCTGTGGATTTGCACACATCCTAGAGCTGCCCTAGATTGAAAGGCTCTGCCACACTGTTCAGTGCAATGGATACTTATAGCACCTGGAAATAATTGGCTTCAAGGTTCTGCAGCAGGATAGAGCCACTCTGCTAAGGCATGAGATGGATTAAGGTCTGGCTGAATGAGAAAGGGTGACCAAAAGTCAATTGCAATTCAGCTGGGGAACTGCACTGCAAATGGTTTGCAGCATGTGTTGACCTTGCTGCTAAAAGGACGAGGTAGATCCCTTGTCCGATTTTAGGCCAGGCACAGGGGTCCTCCCAGGTTCTGGCACTCGCCGTACTGAAATCATGCAGCTAAAGGAGTGGAAGTAATGTTTTTATCACAACTGGGGATGACATGATTATGGCCTTTCAAAGACATTTCTCCTGAGACTTTGCTTCATTCCTTCAGGAATATGCAGACATAAATTACAGAGTGATTAATGCAAGGCAGCGGCCTGTTGCAGTGCGCGGGCTTTCTCCATAAAGTTCCTCTTGAATGGCATCATGAAGTCTTCAAAATCCACCTCGTAAGTAAAACGTTGCCGACGCAACTCCCTCTTTCTTAGAAGATCTTTAGTTGTCGCTTCCGGGCTCCATATCTGAGAGGGAGGAGAAAAACAATCCACATGATTTATTGTGTAGGCTACATTTCTTGGAGAAGAAAACAACAGCAACAATGTTCGGAATCATTCATTGGAACCATCATCCATCTCAAGCAGGCCTGGACAGACTTCATTCTTGCAGGATATACTTTGATTTTTACTGGAGCCTAGAGGGCTGCCAACCACAGTCAGGTGCAAAATAGCAGCAGAACATTAAGAATTAAGGAACAAGGTGTCCTCTGAACACATGCTCAGCCTAGGGATGGCGATTTGGACCTGAACCAAGCTCACAAATGCTTTCACACAGAAAAACCCAGTTCTGGTTTAGTGCCTCCCCCGCAGCACTTTTTTGATAGCCTGATTTTTCAGAGAGGGAGAAGAGGAAGTTTTACTTTTCAGCTGTTGATATTGCTAGATAACTGGGAGTCCCGACAAAGGAGAATTCACAGGCCAATGCTCCCCATCTCTCTCCCAACATACAAAGCCTGGGCTGCTTCTGTGCCAAATGCCAACATGGAATGGATCCAAATGATCAGGCTCATTCTGGAGCTGGTTGGCAACCAGCCACTCAAGGACCTTGCCCATGAAAGAAACATTTGCCACCAGCCTGAATGTGTTAGGATTTTTTGGCCCCAAGGAGGCTTTCCTCAGGAGTGGCCTCACCAAAAGGGTTAAATATTCACAGACAGAGTATCTTGGAAATAATGTGCGGAGAATTCTTTGCCCAAGAAGTGGAGCAAAGAGAATGGGTGATCCCAGATGAGGCATTTACTGAGCACTCAGCACTGTCTCACTCATGGGATGTTACTGGAACTCAGTCTATCTGTCATTTATTGCCCTTCTGTGTTTTAGCACTGTTTCTTCCACTGTTTTTTCTGAACAGAAAAAACAGAGTAAGGGAAAAAGGGCAGAATATCTGCACAGGACTGCATATTTTCACTAGGAAGCCTTATCTTGAAGCACTGTTTTGCCACATCTTCATATGGCTCTCATGGGCCAGATTTTCATTCCTCTGAGGTCCACATTTGGTTCATAGACAGCTCCTTGGCCATTCCTTAGACTAAAACAGGTGTGGAGGGTCCAAGTCCATTTCAGAGATGCCACGGAGGGCATATTCCAGTGGTTGTTGGAGCCAAAGGCAAAGGGATGAGGACTGATCTCCTAAAATAGATCAAGCCATCCTGAGATATTTATATAAAAGACAGCATACAAAAGCTTTAAATAAATGAATGAATGAATGACCAGCCTTTCAACCTTTCAGAATGTAGAAAAACTGCACAGAAACCAAGAAATCACCAAATGATTGGTGGTTGGGTTAAGAGGAAGGACTTAGCCACCTGGGGAACTCTGGAATGCCGGCGTGGCAGCATGGAGAACTCCAGGCACCAACAAGGGCAGGATCTGCCCCTAGAGCTTGCTTGTGGTTTTTCACCCATACCTAGAAGAACTGAGATATTATTCCTGACTTGTGTTACACAAGGGCCTGTCACAATCCAAAAGGCCTGCTAATAACTGAATTCTGGAATGTTCTGTCAGCACAAGGTGGATTAAATGGGAATGGCATTCATACAGGATGAAACTCTGACCTGGAACTACAGGAAGGACACCGTGAATTCTGCTTGCTAGGCACAGGGAGCAGCTATGATGGGACTCATGTCAATAAAGACTGGGCGCCCGTATGAGTGAGGAGGACAGTTCAACAAAAGCAAGAACTCCGTGAAAGTAGCCCATTACCCATGTTTTGGAGCGATACGTACTCTCTGTGGCGTGAAGGTGATATTAAGCTTCCTTGTTGCGCCTCTGGTTATCAGTGAATTCAGATGGACAACATTATCCCGGATGGATTCTTTTTTCTCCTCAAAGAGTGATTTCTCAATGACTGGTTCAGGTGGCTGTGGAATCTGAAACATGAAGCACCATCCGTTGCACAATCGCGTTTGCATTTTAAACATTTCATGACATTATCTAGAGTCTTTTTGCAGCCTACGTGCTTCATGATATGCCAGATTCAAAAGGTGTCCAAAGGTGGCTGCTGCAAAAGGCAGAAGGATCAGGGCAGGGTGGGGCTGGTTCCCCCGCATTTGGGGCACTGATTCCCCTCCACATGATCCATGTGACAGAGCATATGCTTCACACGGGTAAAAGTTGCAGGTTATCTCCCAGCATCTTCAGGCAGAGCTAAGAAAGACTTGTCTGCCATTCTGGAAAGCTCGTAGCAATCAGTGTAGGCGACATGGAGTTACATGGAACAAGTGTCTGATTTGGTAAAGGCAAAGTTCCTATCTCCAAATGCAGGGATAGAAACTCAGCCGGAAGTGTGTTGGACCAGGGCCTGGAAGATCCAGGTTCAAGCCACCGCTTGACTATGAAGCTCCCAGGGTGACTTTGGGCCAGTCACTTTCAGCCTAATCCTCCTCACAGGGTGGCTGTTGTGAGGATAAAATGGAATGAAGGACTATGTAAGCTGCCTTCGGTTCCTTCAAAAGGAAATAAGGCAAAATATAAATGCAATGTATCATTATGAGTATTACTACTACTAATAAATGATGATTTTAAAATGATTATTTTAGTCTTATAATAAACCAATAATGTACCAATTTAATTTAATGTTGACATATTTGAATGAATAATGTATTAATAAATAAATGATGATGATATCAATAATTGTTATTATTGTTCTATATTTCAGGATCCACATTGTAGTGGTATGTGAAGCCAGTGCCCAAAGAAAACATGGCCAAAGACACAGAAAAAAATCTGAATATTGTTGTTTCAAGCACTTACAAGTAGTAATCAAACCTCAGGAGAGGCATTTTGACCTTTCCAAGTAAGGAACAAACTGCAAAGGTCACCAAACAATCGGTCAGGGGAAGGAAGCCATGGCCATCAGGTTGGCCCCAGAGAGACAGACTGGGACACATGGAGGGCCAGGTCTGGGCTGCAGGCTGGGGCTCCCCCCCACCACAACAATGCCTCTCCCCACCCCACTCCTGCAAGGCTGGGGAAAGTCCTGCAAACATTTAAAGCACATTCGGATGTAAGTCATGGACGTGACTTATTTGATGCTGCCTTGGCAAATGACTTGGGCTCTCGCGCAGAATGCGGGCAGCCCTCTCAGGCTGGGCTCTTCCCCCGATGTCCTTCTAACAGAAGGTGCAGGAGGCTCAGCCGGGAAGACGGTGCCTGCAAAGCATGAGCTCAACTGGTGTGCAAGGGCTGCTCCACACAAGGGACAGCCCAAGCTTGCCCTTGGTGGAGGCGGGGGAAGCGGGGCAGAGGGAAATGTGGCTGCACAGCCCCTCTGCTGTACTGCACCCCTCCCTCTGCTTCCTCTGCTGTCATCCTTTAGCACAGACGTTCACCAGCCTTGCTAATTGCCACCAGGCTGGACACGGGGGATTGGTGATCTCTTTTGCCTATTCAAGCTCATGAGGAGGTTGGACAGCCTCCTTCCCCTACCAGTTCTTTGACAGACTCTTTCGAGCCAGGCTCTGCAGCCTTCCCTTTGGGGGGAGCTGCTGCTGGTGCCGGTGCCTTCGGCTTGCCCCCCTTTTTCCCTTTCTGCTTGTCTCCTTTGCTTTCCGGTGGCTTGGGCAAACGGTCCAGCGTGTCCTGAAGGAAGTGGATCAACCGGTTGTCAGCATACGCCTTAGCAATTTCCAATGCATTTTGCCCTGTTTAAAGACAGAACACAGCTAAGGGCTGGAAAATCGTAACTTCTCCCTGCACAATACTGCAAAAACACCCCCCCCCACCCCCACTCTCAAGTCATTGGCTGGGACCTGCTCTTCCCAGTCCGTCAGCCCTTGGCCTGATCACCTCTCTCCAGAGAGGCCTGACCAAAGTAAGGTGTATCTGCATAGATCTGACCACAGGATAGCCCTCTGAAGTCTCTGCACTGGGCTCTTATCCACTCCGAGGGCCACCTGCTGTGGACTGGTGGTACAGCCCAGAGGCCGGTTTACCCCACTGGGGAGAAGTAGGCCAGTTGGAAAATATGCATGGTATTAAATCATGAATGCTACAACTATCTTTGCATACTGAAAGTAAGGATGTCTGAAACAGCAGAACAGCAGCATGCCAGACTTCTCATTCCATCTTCAACTGAATGAATTCCAGCTCTTTCCAACTCAAGTGCATATCAGATCTCATACTTGCTTTTCCCCCTTTCTGCATGATGCCATCCAGGCATATTTTCATGTACATGTTTCCATGTATGTGCATCAGTTGCTCACATTTTTAAAATGTACGCATTGTTTTGCCATTGGTTAAACAATGTTGAGAAGTAGGCAACTTCCTTGTACATTTTTCCAATGTATGCCTGCTGTTGGACACATTGTTTTTGGTACACAAGTTGCATTGCAAATGGAGTTTGACCACAGATTGCATCCAAGTTTGGGTTTGATCTGGAAAGTGTAACTAAATAAAATCTGATTAAAAACCCGCTAAATTTCTCATACTTTCCTAACTGTAAGTTAATTTGTGCCTTGTCAGAATTTATTTCAGTTATTTCACATATTTTATTCATATTCACTGTATCATGCCAAGAAGACAGAAACAAGGTAGAGAGGATGGGAGGAGGAGAAAGCACTACTTCTGGGATGAAACTTTCTCTAAAGAGATCACATAAACACGGAATGCAGGAGTGTATCAAGGTGCTTAAGCATAAGCAGGGATGAGGAAGAATTTAATTTGGTCTGAGATTTAAAGGAAGCCGACCTACTTCACTCTAATGCATAGATTGAAACATAGTTAGTCCTCCTATTGTGTATTCTCTGAACCTTCTACTGTAGTTCTAACTCCAAACTTGTATACAAGATGCACATATTAGACAAACCTACATATCCATATTACAGAAAATTATATACAAAATGCTTAGGTTAGAGGGAAATGTGTGTGTTTTCATCTGCTGACTGATGCAGAAATTGGATGGAAAGGACTTGTGAGGGAATTCATATGAAAATGAGAGTAGCCCATCTCTTAAAATAAATATAAAGCAAAATTACATGTGGGGTGATGGAAAGTAAATGCAGAAAGACAACTCAGTTTCTACTCTGGACTACTTGCAGAATGTAAGTCAATTCCAAAGGAAGTTGTAATTTTATTTAGTAAGGCCTAGAGCTTACTGCTAACAAAATCCCTGCTACCTATAGCTCATGTATAGGTCATATTATTTACCATCCATTAATAGTGATGGAAGCAGTAGTAAGACAAAGGGTTACCTCTTCTGTTTACCATCTGAACTTTAGCACCACTGTTGACTAAATACTGCACGGTGTCCAGCCGACTGCTCTCCACACCTCTCATTAATGGGGTACCATCGTTAATTGAAACGGCATCCATTGTTGCTCCTGCTTTAATGAGCAGTTCAGCGATATCCTGCTGTCCCGCATGGCACGCGTGGTGGAGAGGTGTCCACATGAAATTGTCTTTGGCGTTCACATTAGCCCTGCAGACAAGGAATGATTCCTGTACACATCAAAAATGTCCTATTTTGCCACCAGTCATCTCTCATTCCTCCACAGGCCCTAAATACAGAGATGTACAAAGAGTTATTGGGTATGGATTTTCCATACACGCTGAAACACTCTGAAAGCCAGAAGTCTTTCATCAACCGAAGGGGACTGGTTTAGAGGGGCTCCCTCGCCCTCTTATTATAGTAGAACGTGGGGTCATTCAGTGAAATGGATTGGCAGTAGATTCAGGACAGAGACAAAGAAAGAGAAGAAATTCCTCACACAACACTGGAAGTCCACTGCTGTCAAGTGTGCTGATGGCAGCTAACTTTCTAAGGGGTTAAGCCAGTTCATGGATCATACTTATATTTGTACCAACCGGGGCATGCAACAAATGCCATTTGTTCACTATTTCAGCCAGCCATGTCCTTCCCTACAATACTCCATTCCATTTCCACTCTACTCTGTATTCCATTCACTCTTCCCACAACTCAGAGTAGGGCCTTCTCTGCTGTGGCACCCAGATTCTGGAATGTACTTCCCAGAGAGGTATGCCTGGTGCCGAGCTTATACTTTTTTATTTAAACGGTATTTTAAAATCAACAACTTTTACTGTTCAGTCTCTCTTGTTTTGTTTTGTAATTTACTGTTTTGTCTTATATATTATTCTGTTTCAATTTATTTATTAGGGATTGTTGTGGTTTTAATTGTTCTTTTAAACATTGCAAGCTGTCCTGAGATTTTTATATAATAGGATGGCATAAAAAAGCTTTTAATTAATAAATAAATAATAAACAATTAGCATTCCACAGCGCTGAACCCGTGCATCCCTCCTGGGATTGTTCTTGACTCCGATTTTGTTCATGGAGTAGTTCTGCAAAGCTTGCTGTTTCCCCAAACCTGCTGATACATGTAAATGTGGATGCTGCTATTTTGGCTGCATGGACTATAGCTGTCCTTGAGCAGTGATGGAATGGGAGAGATGCACAAATCTTCCCAAATTTGCACACACTTCCTCCATGTCCGCCTCTCCTGCTATTTCCAGAGCAGGTCTGATTCAGCCTACTGTGCTAATCAGACTGGGGGTTGAGAACAAGTATGTCCATGCAACCTGCAAATATTCTTGGTAGGCACTTGCTCGGACTCATATTCAGAGCTGGGAACAGGACAGGCATGCAAGTTTTGCACGCAAAACCCAAATTCTTATGCAGCCATGGTGATCTCCCAGTTTTGCCGTATCACCACGGTCCCCCATTCAATGCTTTTGCCGGGGGTGGCACAGCAGGCGGGGATCAAGCAGTTTTGGCTTGCTTAGGGCGAGGGGAAGAAAAGTCCTGTTGTAGGCTGCTTCTTGGACACTTCCAAAGAGCTCCTTCCAGTCCAGGCTTTAAATCTGCCAATTTCCTTGACTCATTCTGTCAAGTTCTTCATCAGCGAGCAAGTGAAGCAGGAGGTGCCTCTGGTTTTAAACTGATGATCTTCAAAGCTTAGTGTTTCATTACATTTATTATGTTTATTTTTAACATTTTTCCATCCAAGGAACTCAAGGTGGCTTAGATACTTCCCCTCTCAACAACCCTATGAGGTAGGCCGGGCTGAGAGCCTGGGACTGGCCCAAAGCTACCCAGGGAGCCCCATGGCTGAGCAGGGACTAGCGCCCAGATCGCCTTGGTCCCAGTCCTGTGCTCTTAACCACCACACCACGCTGGCTCTCAACCACTCCCTCTCTTATCCCAAGTCTGCTTTCAGGGAATATAACTGCCAAAACAGCTGCATTACTTTCCTTGCCTCAGTTTTCATTTATACTTAGTCTCAGCCAGCCTCCCCGCTCCCTCAAATTTACTCACAACAACCTGGTGAGGGAGATTAGGTTGAGAGACACTGACTAGCCCAAATCACCTGGTGCCAAAAAGCCCTGTGAGGAAATCAAGAAAGCCAGCCTACCCCTTTTCCAGGAGGAACTGCACGGCTTCCATGTGCCCGCTTGCGCAGGCAGCCATCAGGGGCGTTTTGTAGAAATGGTCTCTTATATCCACGGGCACCCCGGACTCAAAGGCTTTCTTCAGGGATGAGAGGTCTCCCTCTTTGGTGAGGTAGTTGATGTGGGAGAAGCTCTTCAGGGGCTCGTCAATGTACCACCAGGAGTCGTCCTGTATGGGATGCTCTGGAGGGTGGTCCCGATTGAAGCGGCTGCAGTCGGTCACATTCTGATAGGTTTCGATCAGGTACTCCGGCGGCCCTCCATCGGGCCGGCGTGGGTACGAGCTCTCGGGGATGACACAGATTGGTAACGGGATGACAAATTTGCCTTTCTTGCCTTTCCCCTTCTTGCCCTTCTTCTTCTTGGGGCCGTAGGAGGAAAGGAGGAAGGGCTTCTGCAAATACCGAATGCCCTTCAAGAATTCTTCCGTGTTAACCCCCCCTGCACGTGTTCTTTCGTGCGCCTGAGCAATTGTCTGTATTTGCTCCAGGTCCACAAACGGGCACCTTTCCTCGATGATCGAGATGAAATCTTCTTTGCTCACGGTCCCATCGCCCCGATCCGCTATCTCAAAGGCCTCACGGAGGCTTGCCTGGTTTTCAACAGACCAGTCATGCAATCTCACGGCCCACGGTGGGTTGGGGTTCTTCACCCCAGGCTTGGGCTTGGAAAATTTGGCAAAGCGCCGCTCGATTTTTCGGATCTCCTTGACTGCTGCTTTGAATCCACCATCTTTAGCCACCTGTCTGGGCGTCTTTTTCTCTAGATTCCTCCATGTAGGATCACAGCCTAAAAATGAGGATCCATATCACTGGAGACGAGGGGCAACCTACACATGTACAAGAAGATCTCCTGGCCTGAGGAATGAGCCATAAGGTGGATGAATACTTTTTGATCAATCATAGGATTCTTTTAGAGAGAAACAGCTTTGAGCCAAGGCCAAACCTTGTGGCAGGAGTGAACCCAGAAATGGTTCCAACAGCAGGGCAATGGCAAACAGCCGCGGTGAGTGAATGTTAGCGCCCAGTGGGTCACCAGGAACAAAGTGAGTTGGCAGCAGTGTTGCCAAAAAGCCATGAGAATGAGTGAGCAGCAAAGAGAAGGCTGAAAGGCAGATCTCCAGGTGTAGGGATGGCCAAGAGTGCTCACAGGGTTGTCCTTCTGTGGGATGCGTCATCAGGAGGCCAATGAGAATGGGATGCAAGGAGAGAGAATGCTGAGAACTGGCTAGCAGCATTCAGGAGCCCCTTCCCCAAGCCAGTGGCTTTCAGCTGAGTTGGACTACAAACCCCAACATGCCCCAGCCAGTCCAACACATCTGGAGGTCACCAGATGGAGAGGGATCAAAGCATCCCCATGTACAGAACAGTCAGTTCCCTAATGACGCACACACTAGTCATGTTTCCTCTGCTGGCTGACCATCCTGCTGACATGTGGAGCAGCCCTGTGGACATACCAAGGCAGCTCACATACTCCTCTTCCACTCCATTTTTATGGTTGCAACAAACTTGTGAAGTACAGCAGGATGAGAGTCAGTGGCTGGCCTGAAGTCGGGCAGCGAGCTTGGTGGCCAATTGCAGACTAGAACCCAGATCTCCCAGGTCCACAGTCCAACTCTCTAGTCTCACTAGAAGGGAGAACCCTATTAACCCCCCTCCCCCTATATCTGTGCAGATCCTAGCGCAGCCTTCTTCAACCTGGTACCTTCCAACTGTGCTGGCATACGACACCCATCCTTCCCAAGATCTGGAGGCCCCAAGGTTAGGGAAAGCTATGCTCCCTACCTTATTCTCCCTAATACATATGCCCCAAGACAGTGGGCTCCATTTGGCTTGGGAACAATGGCTGCCTGTTCCCCCAGAGTGGCCAATACTTTCTGCCATGGAAAGCAAAGCACTCAGTTCTCCCACAGCCCCCCTTTACCTCTTTGACCAATAAACTTGCAACATTCAGTAAAGCCCCCGGCAGCTGCATAGTGGAGAGGCGTATTTCCATTCATGGCTATCAGGCCCACGTCTCCATTGTAGGCAGAAATGAGCTTCAGGATCTGGGGAGCAAGGATGACACGATTCCATGTCAAGATGAATCAGGCACCTACACCTCTTCAGCCCCATTTATGTGGCTTTTCCTCTGCAGTGAATGGATGGCATTTTTAAAAGTTTCAGGCCCCTGTCATAATGTGTTGAGTCCAAGGGACACCCGCAAAAAGAGCACCTGATAAATGCTCAACCGTGGAATGGCAAACGGGTAATATGTCAGCACTGAAATACCACTTCTTAGCAAGGTACTGGCCATCTACATAAAGGGAGCAATCTGATGTTTCCAAGACAGCATCTGGGAGGCCACAGGATTGTTCAGCATCCTGGCTCAGACCTGGAGCTGGAAATTGGAGCTGCAGAAGCCTTCACCTTCACACCCAATGGGGAAAGAAGCAGAATGGCTCCACTCTGGGGTCAAGAACATGAGCGAAAGGAGAAGGCCGGAGACTCCAAGGTATAAGGTCTCCTCACTTCTCCTCCGGCCTCTTCCTTTTCCCATCCAGAAGGCTCCAGCTAGAAGGGCGACAAAGCTAGTCTAGCAAAAGGGCGAAGCAGCAATGCCTGTGCTCCTCTTCTACTCTGCACTGGATAATCGTAAGCCTGAGTTGGGGCAGGTGGAGGGGGGGAGAGGCAGGCTTGCAGCCATCACTCCAGGAGTACCCCCTACATGTATCAATGTGCACATCTGTGCGTGGATCAGGTACACTTTGCCAGTGGAGGGGCGTCTGCTTAACCATTTCCCCCCAGCACTGAGTCCCAAGTGGATTTCCCCTGCTCCACCCCACTCAAATGCCGACTGGGGAAGCAGCTCTTGCACAGATGCCCTTCTGAGTCTGATAGCAGTTTCAAGGTGGCACCATCGGCAATTTCTCTTAGGGCTGCAGCAAGAGGCGATGGGAGGTGGGGAGGAACCATGAACTTCACACCGTCTGTGCTGCGGCTGACAGCTAGGCACCCCCACCACCGATGCCTTTTCAAAACCAGGAAAAGCTACATCCATTTCCCAGTGCCCAAGCTCCCCTGATTTAAGCCATCTCTTCCCAGCTCTTCAACTCTTCAAGAGCCTCCATTTTCCTTCACATCCATCTACATTGGGATGTTGAACAAAGGTTGGATTCAATTTGGGAGACTTTTTTTTGTGGGGGGGGACATGTTTTGGTGGTGGGCAGGGCTGATGGCACAAAAGGGGGCCCAAAATCCCATGATGTTTTAGCTCAGGGTTCTTCAGATGTTATTCTATGCAAATTCGGACAGGAAACAGGTCTACACCAAGTGTGTCCCATCCAGAAGCATTTCAGCCTTTGAGAACGAGGGGATTGGGAGATGCAAGCAAGCCAGAAAGCCAGAGACAATCAGCAGTTAGGGGGATTTTGGCCCATGGACTTGAGGTTCTCCAACCTTGATGTTCACAAATAAGCCACAGTGGGAGTGCAAGGGAAGGAGGGCCCTGGATTGCCATCTATATTCTATTTTATTCTATTTTGCATGCATTCTTTGCACACTGAATAGCATTCAAGACCCTGCCTGTGATTTTCCATTACTTGCCTAGAAACCCTTTTCCTGTTTTGTTTTGGTTTGTTTTTTGTTCCAGTTCACCAGTCTGCTGGCCAACCTGTCCCCACATCCCCAGATGTGCTTATACTGAGGTTTTGTGTTCTCAACTCTTATTTAAATTTGAGAAATTCCCCAGTCCTGGTTAATTTAAGCATGGTTCCACATCAGGCTGGTGGCCTCTGGAGGTTTTGTACACAATTCCCATCACAGCTGCTTTCCCTCAAAAGGAAGTGTTCCGCTTACACATGCTTTAACATGTGTTTAATATGTCCTTTCTCTTCTCCTGTACCCTACCCCCCACAAAAATGTAATTAAAAAAACCCCCTTAGAACAGCACCTCCAACCCATCTCGTGAACCATGTGTGACAGAAAAAGAAATGAGTGAAATGTGACTGTTCAAAGTGAAATGCAGGCCATTCAAATCAGCTGCATTGGGTTGCAGGCCATGTTAGTTCTACTTAGAATAGACAAATTCAAGGGAAAGGAATTTACATAACATTGGATAGAACCCAATGGAACAAAGGTACTTTGTAAATACTGAGGGCATAAACGAACATGGGACCACCACCAAAATAAATAAATAAAAGTAGGGGAGAACCCTGCAACATGTCCCCCTCCTCCCCATAAATTGGATTTCTGGAATACCACAGTGCAATATGACATCATCTCAACAAGGGATGAATGGTGCCACCACCAAGCAGCAGCAGCCAACCAATGAAATGGGGCAAAGCCTCCATGTGGTGATGTCATGTTTCCACAATGGCATGTTCTGGGGAAAGGAGAGGAAACTTGACCCAAGGTGGCCATTTTTGGTGGCAGCCCCAGCAGAGTCTAGTTCTGCCTTACTCTAGTTCTTTGCTTTTAATTGTCCTTAGGAATGACACAGATCTATCTCGCCAAGCCTTTAACATACCACAAGGACATACTTTGCTCTGTAGCACAGTTTCCTTGGAGTGGCCAGAGAATGAAGTGGATGCTCTTTAAAAAGGAAATTTACCCTTTATCTGCTTTCTATAGGAAAATTCCTTCCCAAAACATAGGGAAAAGGAGTGTCCTAGAAGAATCTCCTGTATTTGGATTATTAGAAATTAACCAAGAGAGTTCCTTGGCTGGATACCTTTGCTTCTGACACCACCAACAAAGAATACCTCAAAAAACCCTCCTTTGGCAGCAAAATGTGCAGCGTGGTGTCTTTCATTGTCAAACACGTTAACATCTCCACCTCTCTCAAGGATACCATGGACCACTTCCAAGACTCCTTCCCGAGCTGCTTCCATCAAGGCAGTGCGGCCTGTCGCCTGCAAATCAGACAAAGACAGTTATGGAGATGTTTCTCTCCTGATGTGCACAAAGAGGAAAAAAGCAGGTGGCAGATTTTCTTTTTCTACTGCCAGAGCAAAGCCCTTTGCAAGGGTTAGGAAGGAAAATTCAATGGGTGCAGAACAAAGCAGCTTGGATGTCAGGGAGTGCCAGGCAGTCTGCTCATGTGGCCTCAGCATTGTACCAGCTCCACTGGTTGCCCGTGTGATGCCAAACCGGGTTTAAAGTGCTGGGTTTTACCTTTAAAGCCTCGAGGCTTGGAACCTTGAGGCTACCTGAAGGATTGCATTTTCCTGTACTAGCCTGCCTGCATTCTGAGGTCACTAGAAGAGGCCCTTCTTTCTGCCTCGACACCAAGGCATTAGACAAGTGAGCACAAGACCATGAAAAGAGGGCCTTCATATAATGGCTCCACAGTCTCGAATTAGCATCCATCAGGGACCTGTCAGGCCCCCTTTCCCTCAGGAAGTCAGTGAAGTCAGGAAGTCAGTCCCCTTCTTTTTAAGTTTTTCCCGCATAATCTGTGGTTGGCAGATTATTTATTTATTTATTATTTATGATTTAGTTATTTATGATTACACCCTACCTTTCTTCTTACAAAGAACTCAGAGGTTTACATCATTCTCCTCCTCCACTCTCACTCTTATCCTCACAACAACCCTGTGAGGTAGGTTGGGCTGAGAGTCTGTGACTGACCCAAAGCCACCTAGTAGGCTCCATGGCCTAGCGCAGACTAGAGCCCAAATGGTCAGAAGCACAGACGCATGCTCTTAACCACTACACCACATTGTACTGCTGTACCATTCATTTTCACATACAGTTGTTGTATTTTTAGCTTGCACACCATCTTGAAAGAGTTCAACTTTAACGTTTAAATGAATGAAGAAAAGTGCCCAACACTTGTTTTCCCCTTTATCTGTAAAAAGCAGAGGTATGTTCATTTGTAGGCATTGTTCTCCAAGCAGGAGAAAGGAAAGTCAGTTCCCAGTGGAAACTTAAGGCCATGCCCTGCCCTGCCCTGCCCTGCCTGCCAGTAACCCTCCTCCATCTGGGACCTTCATGTCTCTTTGTGTGGCCTGGCAAGGCCAGGGGACAGCGTTCCACCCTCCCTGTCCATTTCCAACTCAGGACATTTTATTATAAGCTTTCTGCTGCTTGATGTGCTGCTTGACTGCATGCTGAGAATTTGTTGTTATGCATTTTTCTGTGCAGGTGTAAGGAATGCTGCTTTTGTGATCTAATTCTTCCTCTTCGATGTGGTTTAGTATATAAAATAGTCATAGGCAAAGAGGCCAGCTTCTAAACAGGGCCTGAAAGTGAGGATGGTCAAGAAGAGGATGTGTGGAGTGCATCAAATAAAGGAACATGTGGAGTTGCAAATGTGGGGACTGGCTTAGAGTGGAGATAATGTTAATGAAATGCTAACATCGAAGTCCTGTCTTGATAAGTTTAGAGAAATACACAGGAAAATAGAAAATGTGGGTTTAGCAAATAGTCTGGCAAATGATAAGATTAACTCAGGGGGTGCATTAAGACCCTAAATGCTAACTTAGCTTAAAATGTCTAACAAAGGGATGCAACAAAACTTAAGACCATGTAGGGAGTTTTATTTGAGTGACTCCTCTTTTTTCTATAAAGGAAAAGACTGCTAAGTGAAAAAGTATAACAAGTTGTTTCTAACACAGAAAAGAGTGCACAGCTCATTCACCAACAGCACCTGTGTCCACATAACAACATGAATCCTGCCTCAATGGGCGAAGCTTCAGGACAGGTATGTGCTTCCGGGCTCTCTTCTCCTTCTTACCTGGGGTTTTTGTCCCCAAACTGCTCTCTTTTGATAGGCTATGCAACACACAGGGCCTTTGTTCCCTTAAGGATGAAGAAGTGTAAAGATGGAACAGGAGGAGGCTATCAGTGGCCAGCAGTCTTCCTGGCTATGTGCTACCCCTTCTACCAGGAGCAGCATGTCAGCAACTACCAGTTCCAGAGGAGGCTGGGCAAGTGAAGCTCTTGTTCTCATCCTGCTTGAGGGATCCTGTGGGCAGCTGGTTTGCCACCACGTGAACAGAGTGCTGGACTGGTCTGATCCTGCATGGCTTTTCTTATGTGTGATTTAGGACTTGCTTCCTTGCTGTCCAATTTGCACATTAAAGCTACAACTTAAGACTCCACATGTACGCTATCTTTTCATGTCATAAAAATACTCTTCATTGTGTAAGTGTGCCCAAGCGTGTATCAGTGCAGGAACTGGAGGAAACACAGACATAGAGGCCAAGCATACATTAGACACCCGCTAAAGAACCTGCCTCACTGAAGGCAGAGTGGGATTGGGGCATGCAGCATCTCCAGATGCCAAACTGCAGACGATCCCTAGTGTGCCACAGGGACATACGGTGGTATCAGCACCATCAGCAATGCAAAAACAGACCAGTCCAGAATTCCACTGCTTCATGCTCCACAACAGGGGTGGGCAACTATGATGGAGAGGATGGCTTTGAGTGCCCTGCATGACACAATACTGTTACTACTGGGGCTGCCACATCAAATCCATCAATTATATTTGCATAAAAGCAAAAACAGGAGTCCAGAAGAGGAAAGCATTCTTACTTTGCTTCGAGAGGATGCTTCCTCAGCAGCAGCCCTTTCACACAAGGTGCTCCCTGCTGAGGATGAGAAAAGGAGGTGCCTGTCCTAAGACGGAACTTACCATCTGCAGTGTTTAAAATTATTCCTTTAAAGCTACTCAAATATAGAAATTTCTGGCTTGATTAATCAAGGTACCTTTTTTTAGTCCATTCAGAGTCTGAACAAGGCATTTAAGAGTCACAGCACTAATTAGCACACTTATCAGCTGCCCACTTCCCATCTTCAAATGCTAAGACCCTTCTTACTAGGTTCATGGCGTTTGGGTTTGCTCCTCTCTCCAAAAATTTCATGCATATCTCTTTGATCTCGTGTGCTTGCTCACAAGCTTGTACGAAAACATGTTTCCCCTCAATAGTACAATTGTTAACATCAGCTCCAAATTCAAGGACGATCTGAACACAGCGGAAGTGCCGTTTGGTGGGCAGGATGCAGTAGAAAAGCACACCTGCAGAAGAAAAGCAGCATGATGATGCAGCAAGTGAACATCCACAGCATGAAGCTGCCAAATACTAAAGATGAAAAGAAAATCTGACCTTCTGGAGTTAGAATGTTTAAAAAGCCAACCCCTACTTTCCTGCTGAGCAGGCAGAATGCAGGGTTCCTTTATACCTTTGCCTTCTGCATCAACTATTGACATATCTGCCTCGGCCTGGACCAAGACATCCAAGGCCAGGTCATGGCCAAGCTCCGCAGCTTTCATCACAGGAGTGCGCCCCATCCGATCCTGGACATCTGGGTGAGCCCCAATTTCCAAGAGAAAGTTGCACATGTCAACATCATTAGCGACACAGGCCAGGTGAAGGGCACTGTCTCCATTGAGGGGCTCGGTGAAATTAATAAGTTCAGGGTATCCAAGTTTGGTAAGCTTTTCGATTTGCTTCTTATCCTTCTGCCGCACACACTGGAGAACTTTATAGATCTGTAGGTTTTCAAGCCTCTTGTCAGCCAAAGACATTCTCAGTCAACTGAAGAAAGGTTCTTCCCATAGAGATGGACTCTGGACAAAAGGTGAAAACAGATGAGGTCAGTCTCTTGAGCAGTGGAATTGATCCAAGGAGGCAGTGGGTTTACCACTGCACTCCCTTTTCTTGTTCTGTCTAAGCCTTTTGATCTGTACCCATTTTCCCATCACAGTATTCATGGAAATAGCTAGCAACAACATGACATGTTGTATGCCAACTTTTCTCCCATGAATTCACAACACAATACAACTAGAAAGGGGTAAGGACTGGCCTCACATCAAAGCCCAGATTTTGGCCATAACATCTCCCCATCACATGACATCCAATGGGCGGTACTCAGTGTTGGTTTTACTTAGAACCATTGGCATGTTGTTTGGAGATAATGGGAGTTTTAGACTTCCACCATCTGGTGGAACTAGATGCGCTAGTTAAGTGACAATGGCTAAAATAACTAAATAAAATAATAAATAAAAGTCATTGATTAATCGTCTTGCATAAACATGGCATATCCCATGTTAAGGTCATCTTAAACGTGTGGCCACTGCCGCATCTTGTGGTGATGAATTCCACAAGTGAGGTGAACATAATGGGATGAAGTGTTTTCTTCCGACCAAAATCTGCTCATCAGTTTCATCTGGTGACTTCCGAAGCTCTACAGCTAGGAGAGAATGTTTTCTCAACCTACTTCCTCCACACTATGCATATAACAACAACCCAGGACATAGTTTGCTTCATTACACAGTTACCCATGAGTTGTTTCCCAGAGATACCACAAAGTGTGTGATGTTGTTTTTCAATTCCTTTGTTTCGATTCCAATGTTTCATTTCTTCCTTATTTGCCACCCCTCCCTCTATAGCAAATCTCTTTCCAGCACTGCAGATTTGGCAGGCAGGGCAGCTGAGGTGTCCTTTTATTGCTCTTGCCTACCTGTTCTGTAGCTCAGTGTAACAACCCATGAACACTCTGAGGTTCTTGGTTCACACTTATCAATCCACACTTTAAACAACACAGAATTCACAATCCAACAACGAATCATGAGTTCTCTTCCTGGGTTGTTCATAATTAATAACCCACAGTTAAGCCATAGTTCTGGGTTCACAGATCATGGCAGCCCTGGGTTCAACAAACAATACTCAACCCATACTCCAGATTGTCACTACATGCAAACCAGGCCCCTCCACATAGTCCTGACATCTTGTTTTGTTAAATGAGAAGCTCCTTTCCTTGTGGGGAAGTTGTGCCGAAAGGTTGAGTCTTGAACCTTTTGTCACTCTTTTCTGAACCTTTTCTAGCTCTGTTACTTTTTTGAAATGAGAAAAGCTGAACTAAGCACAGATGCATCTTCTAAAAGCAGCATTGCCATAGAATTTTTTGAACTAAAGATATTACAAGACAGCTCTTCAAACTTGCCACAAGAACGCATGACTAACAGAGCAGTACTGTATGTATCTATTCAGAAGTAAGCCCTGTTGAGTCCAGTGGCACTTATTCATACAATTTAGTGAAACCTTTTATACACATACTTAAGGCGAAATCCTGTGCAAGTTTAGACAGAACAAAGGCTCTTAACTCCCATCATGCCCCAAACTCACAAAGGATTGTGACTTCAGCGAGTCAAATGGCGAAAGGTTGATCTATAGAAATTTGAAGGCGGAATATAGATTGCTCAAAGTAGCCAGTAGAATTGATTATTTGGTTCAGATCACTGCACCGCAGGAAGTTGCTTTAAAAAATCCATGTACTTCCCACCCCATTTCTGCCACAACAATAGCAAGAAATCAATCAATCAATCAATCAATCAATATCCCTGATTAAATGCAGCACAGCATGCAGGAGTGATCACACACACACTCCATCATCAATCGAGGCTCATCACAGAGCTTCCGCTTCCAAAAGTGGGGTCCAGACAGCAGCCCAAGAGATTCCAAAACCTTCATGAAATTCCAAGGAATGGAAGCAGGGTTAACCAAGCAAAGGCGTTCCAAGATCAGTGACTTCATGCATGAATGGACATCCCAGGACACCAAGCAAGCGCTAGGGTACACGAGTCTGAACAAGCCATCAAAATTCAAGCACCATAAACAGCACAGGTAAGTGCAACAGTGCTCCATCCTGCTGGGGGAGGTTCCCAGGTTCTTCTCCACATTGTCAAGTGATAAGATGACATGAACGTGTGAATAAGACTTTATCCAAAGCAGATGCCTCAGGGATTTGGATGAGTCCCTGTTGCGAAAGGAAGGAAACTGTTGCAGCCTTGCACCATTCCTGCAAAAACACCAGGGAGCTTTGCAGCATCCTTCAAAGCCATGCAGTGCAATACTGTGTATGCCTACTCAGAAATATGTCCTAATGAATGATATGGGTGCTTACTTCCATGTCAGAGCACTTGGGAATGCAGCAGCCTGTGGCAATAGGCTTAATTGTAGCATAGGCTTTTGTGATGAGGAAATGCTCCGATCCAATGCAAATGCTTCATGCACATGAAAAAGTTCTCAGAAGGCATCTGCCAAGCCCAGGCTGTTCGGTGTGTTGGTGTGCAATCCTATACTTGTTTGGGCAGAAAGAAGTCCTACAATTCCCAGGATTCCCCGGCTAGCTATGCTGGCTGAGGTATGCTGGGAGCTGTAGGCTTTTCCCCCGTCTAAACATGCATACTATCGTGTTCTTAACGTGCCAAACGAGACCCTTAACTGTTTGCTGACTGCAACACATCAATGCAGAGCAGCAGCCCAGATCTTTCTGCAAAGAGAGACCCCGGAGATTACGTCACTCAAGGGAAGGCCACATCTGTCCGGATTATGATGACGACGACTGTTAATGCAATGCTCGTGTTATCATTATGATTCGCTTGGTTTCCCCTGCTTGCAAGCCAGTTTACCTGCACACGTTGCCGACCCTCCAGGACAGCGGGAGGAAGCGAGACGAGCGCCGCTGCCCAGACGACTCGCCGAGAAGCATGGCGTTCCCCGCGGCGTGGACTGCTGGCGAGAGAGCGAGAGCACCGGCGGTGGCAGCGGCAGCGGCAGTGGCAGCAGCAGCAGCAGGAGGGGATTGTTAGCCGCGAACTCCTATAGCAACGGAGCGAGCAGGCGCGCAGGCACGCGCGTAACAATGGCGGGCGCCGTCTGCCAGGTGCAAGGCGGGCGCCGCGCGGGGTCCCCTGCTCAGCTCGCGCAGCGGCAGGCGGCGAGCGGCGAGCGCGAGGGCGCGAACGAGGCGGCGCGCGGGCTTCCGCGCGGGCCGCTCGCGCGCCTGCCTGCTGTCCGGAGCGGCTGCCCATGGCGAAGACTTTTCATAGCTGTTCCTGCTGATTGTGTTTTCTCCTTGTTAAAACACACGAAGTGATGGCAACAGTTGTCCGTAGGCATGATTTGATTAGCGCTTGTGATTTGGAGTCCGGAAGTCTTCCGCAGGCATCCCCGATGCGTTGCACTTCAACTCCCAGGCAGCAAGCGCCTATTCTCAGGATGTCTTGGACTACAACTCTCATCAATCCAGGCCAGGAGGATGGTGCCTCCCATTGTCTTGGGCTGCAGTTCGCATCATTCTCAGCCATAAATCACATACTGACCTGCAAACGGCTCTCAGTATTGCAGATTGTAACTTCACAACTTTGTTCTGCTTTATGCTGGCAAAAAAGGAGGCGCTCCTGTCCTTTTCGTAACCGTCCTTGCTTTGCAAGAGCTGCTTATACTTTCTGATCTCCAGCAAAGACCATCTTAATATCACCAGTTCAAGCAATCTTTCAGTCACAGTATATTGTGTCAAATTAAGCAGGCTTATCGAAGGATCAATTACAATTGCATGTATAACATTTCTAATCACCATTTTCTAGAGAATTGCGCTTCAGCGCCTGAGTATGTGTGCTGTGACAGGTTTTCACCGCAAACCTTGCTTTAAATATACCTGGAAGTTATCTACAGGTAATTTTAAGGATTTAGAAGGCATGCCATTTTCTTTTTAGTTCCAAGGCAAATGGGATCCGGGGGATAGATGCCCCCAGTTCATGCAAGGTCCATATAGGTGGCTCAGTTTTTCAGTCTCATTCTGCTACAATACAAGTCTAATAATGATGCTGCCTTCTACAACCATCACTTGAATTAATTTGGATGATGGGAATGCTTTTCATAACCTTTGTTGGCTTTTCATAAACCTGATCTCTTGCACTCTCAATGTCTTTCAAGGTATTAGTTGGTTCAAGTTACAAGGACTGGGCTGTACTCCACTGGCCAGTGTGAGCCTTTCTCTGCAAAGGGCAGGTTTCTGCTCCTAGAGAAAATGCCTAAATTCATTAGAGCAATACCTTGATTGGGCTGAACATTAAAGGCTGCACACCACTTTGTGACCTCTGGGTTGGCCTATTCAAGGTATTGCCCTAATATTCTCTGTACCCTCTCAGCTTGTACAGCTACCATTGCTTTTTGGCTACCTATGGCAAGGATGAGGCATCTATAGTTCCCTAGATGGGATAATCTTTGTGAGAGTGCACAGTCTTTATTATCCTAATTCCTTGACTCACTCGGAGCTAAGGAAGACATTTATAAAATTATGCTGCCAGATAATGCCGTCAGCATATCTGGATGGCAGCTATGTAAATGTTGTGACATACCAACATCTTTGTATATGCAGGGCTTCACAAATAGAGGATCTTGTTCATTCTATATTTTTCAGTGAGTGGCACATCAGTCCCAGGAAAAGATTTCTTATGAATTTGTTGAGAAAAATATCTAATTGAACATTGGCTGAGCACATGTGAAAATTACTTTTAGATATGGACACTTAGGTAAGTAGCCTCATTTGCAGAGCTTGCTGAAAGGATTAGAGAAAGTTCCTAAAAATTGTTGCTCTAAGGTTGCACACATGAAGAACTGATCTGAGCGGCCTGATCATGCTTGTGTTGTTTTTCTCTCTATTTATTGTGCCCCCCTCTCTCTTTTCCCTTTGGGCAAAATTTAAGAACCTTTAGTTACATGCAGTAAAATCAGCTGACAG